TGGCAGAAATTACAGAGCACCACATACCTCTGCAATCCGTCCGGTATAAATATTGCATTATTAAATAATTTACTTAAACAGTTGAAGATACTGCCGAATTGTAGAGATTTACCGATGAATCTCAGTGGTTCAGGCTCAGCCATCGTTCTGCATATTTTTGCCATATCAAAGCGTTCAGGACCAATATCTCAAGGTTTTTCATAGCTTTAGTCCTGAAATGAGTAAAGAGTTGATGTAATATGGTTGACTTTGTCATTCAAATCACCCAAAAAAGCTTCAATTTTTGAAGAACTAAGTAATAGGTCAGTAAGCTTTAATTTCAATGCCGATGAAGAGTAGTAATAAGGCGAACGAAGATGACACGAGTAAGAAAGTATGAAAAGCTTTGTTAACTGCTACGACTATTTACGAAGTCCTTACTTATTTTAAGTTCTGAAGGGTAGCAAAATCAAAGTGGATGTGTTCTTGTTAGCCAACGAATGTTTTGATCACAGAAAGAACAGGCTTCTGACGAACATCCAGTGGTTAGACTACCAAATAACCACTAAGGATTCCACAGTTTAAGACATTCTATTGTATAAAATTAAGTCACCAAGTTGAGTATCGCATTTTTACTCACACAATATCCAGGTGCCGTACTTTTTTCAGCGGATACATTCATTTTCCAGGATGTACTGTAGGCTGCTATTTTTAGATCATTTGTCTCTAACCATTCTGCAGGTAAAACCAGAAGCTCTGCTTAACAATAATTCGGTGCACCTTCTAAGTAAAGGGCATAGGTAAATAGACCGTCAAAGAAGCAACACTGAAACTCAATAAACGATTCCCATTTGTCTTTACAAAACCCAACTCCCTGGACCTACTAAAAGGAGCTGTTTTTATATGTTTATTTTTATATTAATTTATTCACTCGTTAATATCAATATTAAAAAAATACAAATATAAATATAAATGAATATAAATCTGTTCATATTGAATGTTTTGATCACAGAAAGAACAGGCCTCTGACGAACAGCTACTGATTGGACTACCAAATAGCCACTGAGGATTCCACAGTTTTAGACGTCTTATTGTATAAAATCAAAATGCCAAGTTGAGTGTCGCATTTTTACCTACATAATGTCCAGGTGCCCTATTTATATTTATAATTAATATTAGTATTTATATTAACATTTTATATTTATATTTATATTTATATTTGTATTTATATTTATATTTATATCTATACTTATATTTATATTTATATTTATATTTATATTTATAGTATTTATATTTATATTTATATTTATATTTATATTTATATTTATATTTGTATTTATATTTATATTTGTATTTATGTTTATATTTACATTTAATATTTACATTTATATTTATATTTATAGTTTATACTTATAATTATAATTATATTTATATTTATACTTTATGCTTATAATTATATTTATATTTTTGTTTATATTTATATTTATGCTTGCAATTATATTTATATTTATATTTACATTTGTACTTGATATTTATTTTTATACTTGCAATTATATGTATATTTATATTTAGTATTTATATTTACATTTATATTTTATATTTATATTTAATGTTTACATTCTTACTTATATTTATATTTGTAGTTTATATTTATAATTATATTTATATTTATAGTTTATATTTGTAATTATATTCATATCTACATTTATGGTTTATATTTATAATTGTAATTATAATTACAATTACAATTATAATTATAATTATAATTATAATTATAATTATATTTATGTTTTATATTTATATTTATATTTATAGTTCATATTTATATTTATATTTATATTTACACTTGCAGTTATATTTATATTTGTATTTAATGTTTATATTTGTATTTATATTTGTATTCGTATTTATATTTATAGTTTATATTTTTATCTTTATTTATATTTATATTTATATTTATGTTTATATTTGTGTTTATATTTATACTTGCGATTATATATATATATATATATATATATATATATATATTT